CATCCCAGTTTTAGAGAGGTCAGGACAGAGGTGAAACAATTACAGTGACACAGAAAGAGCCTGTAAAGAGAGACGCATCAGAGTAACCTGATCACAGGATGTGCTGGCTCACATAAGCCTGGGGGCTACCACAGTGTATTCCCAAATTTTAAATCAAAACCACGCCTTAGTTCAAAGTTACAGCAAACACCGTTCTTAGAAATGTTAATAAAAATGCCATAAGTATCCACAGCCAAGGCATTAGAGGGCCGAGAATTGACAGAATTGAATTCACAAGCAGCCTGCACCCTGTAAGACCTGGAAATGCAGCATTCAGAAGCTCCACCATGTGCTAGCACTGCTTACCTGCAGGGCAGGATGAGCAGAGTAGGTGTTGCCTCTGAGGGCAGGAGGAACAGTAGTACTTTCCAGTCTCGTCACTTAAGAAAGGATTTGCTTGGCACACAATGTGCTAGCAATCTAATGGCAACAGAAAACAGAGCTCTAGCCTTAGTGGGACTGTTCCTCAGGAGATATCACTATGTCTTTAAGAAAAACCTGGCCAAAAGGCTGTGGAAAATGGAAGTGAAGCACCCTCTGAAGACCTGACCAAGGGCCAGGAGCCTGGAGCTGGAGCCTGCAACGGGGAAGGGCAGTGCACTCTAACAGACGGAGCCGAGGTCCAGGTATGAGCACCCTGCAGAGGAGCAGAAGCAGTGGGGACAGTCATCCAGCACTAGGCTACCAGCACCACCTGAGGGCATTTTCTGACTCTGGAGGGAATGACAGCATAGGCTGTGACAGCATCACTGGTGTCTGTGATCTCCATGGTATGGCCTGAGCAAGATTGCGTAAATTGAAAGAGAAAATTACAAGCTGTCAGAACATGAGCCATCACTGTGGCTCATCCTTTCTACCCACTGGAAAAGATGAGCCAGAGCAATGGTTGAGAGAGCCTGTCCCAGTGCCCTCAGAGATCCCACAGCAGCACCATGGGGATACCTCTACAGCACTCCACCTCGCTTCACCCTGTTCCCCTTGCCTCACTCAGCAGTTTGAGGTGGATCACCATTTCTCTCCCCAGCTGTCATACAGTTATCTGCACAGGAAGCAGTTCCATCTCTCTGTGTGTCAGTCCTGAAGATGCCAGTCCAGACCCTCAATGACTATGCTGTGCGTTTACAGAGCTTTACAGCACTGAGTCATTGGCCCAGCGGTGCTGATCCTGCGGCACCATTCAGTATGACCCATGCCACAGTCACTGCAGCACCTGGTCGATCACCCCCCCCACCTCCTTCCCTCACACTCTGCTTGCTCTTTTTCCAGTACTTACCTCTTCCTGCTCTGCAGTGCAATGATTCTGCATCCACAGGCTTCTAGCAAATGCTGCTGCTATGTAGTCACAGGTCACTGCTTAGCAGTCCCTTCCCTTTCTGATCAAAGCACATAAAATTTCACAAGGTGAACAGGAGTTCAAGCATTACACCATGGTGTCCAGAAAGCTCACTTCTACAGAGGCACATAGCATGGCCACAGATGAGTCAGTTCACAGCAGCCCTACTTTAAAGAGTGTTGAAATAGAGGGGGAGAAGATTAAGGAAGAGCAATGCTTTGTCCTTGCAAAGATATGATCCCCTGTTAGCTTTGGGAGTGGTATTTAATCATGTTTGTATGGAGAGAGCCTTCAGCTGAGGGGAGGCTGAGTTTCCTGACAATGCAAAACCAGAAAGGCCCTTTTCAATAGCTCACCATATCCCCATCTTACCTCTGTCTCTTGCTCCAACTAGGAAGGCAATAACTTGAAGGATGGTGTGGAGCTGCTGCTGGAGATGTTCCCGGCTTGTACCGTGAGCCAGGCAGAGAAGGCGATTGCCATGGCCTTGGGGAACTTGGAGGAGGCAGTGCAGTTAATTGTGGAGGAGAAAGTAGAAATTGGCCCGGCAGGTGCGAGTGTGAAGGTACAGTACTCATAGCTGGGTGGCAGCAGGCTAGGGAGCAGGGCAGAGCTCAGGGGCACGCGGGTGTCCCCGCTCTCTGCTGCAAGCAGCTTTAACCACAGGAACTCCCTGTGCAATGAACCAGGAGGATCACCCAGAACAACAGCCCCTTTCCTTTCCCTTTGCTCTGTGCCCACCACTGAGCCAGCACCCCAGTGGAGCTGTGGCTGGTACCCCGCTTCCCACAGGAGCTGGAGTGCTCCAGCAGCAGCTGGGCTTACCAAGCTTGCAGGGATTAGGTGTACACCCCACATGTTGTGCCACTCACACACCACCTTGTCTCTTCACAGGAACTGGCACGGCCTCGGAGAGTGCCCAACCATGAGGAACTCAAACAGGTTATCCTACAGAAGTAAGTACCCAGCAGCAGAGAACCCCTCATTTTGCTCCACATAAAGTAAGAGGTCACAGTTTGGGGAAGGTCAGAATGGCAGTATAGTCTATAAAGAACTTGGGGTGTACAATGTTTAGTAAGGATGCTGTGAAGCTGATTCAGGTACAGCTGAATGCAACTACAAATAGAACCATCACATGGGAAAAAAAAATAGGTTTGGGTTTGTTTTAGAGCTGTGGCACAGGAACAGGTTACCTGCACCAGCTGTGTCACAGCGCTGGCTGTGTGTGAGGTTTGACCCTCCTGCAGGTACAGTGTAAGTCACAGTACTGCCAGCTGAGGTCCTGGTTAAAAGTTCAACACACAAACATCATGCTGCAGCTCAGGTAACACACTGTGACTTGTAAAACTACAGCAGCTCATTCATACCGCCATCCTTGGAGACAGTCCAAACAGGACTAAAGATACCTTTAAGAGACTGTGTGTACAGCAACACTGGGAAGATTAAATCTCACTTGTTGAACATGTGAATTCAATACATTTAAAGAAACCTCACTGAAGTGCCCCTATGGACTTCTTAGGAATGAAAGTGGCTTTAGACTGGTTTACCATTATTCATTTCCAAAAGCATTTAATTTTCAGTAGGAGAACCCACACTGTGGTTTCATCGATCTACTTTCACCAATGTCCTGTGGGCATACAGATTGCACGTCTATCCAGCCACATCTTTTCCACCACTTTACATCCTCCCCAGTGACAGAATGGGGAGACAGTCAATGCTCTAAGGAAGATAAAGCAAAGCAGAATGGCATCCAAGCAGAATTAGCAATCCCTGTCTTTGCCCATCTCCTGTGCAGGCCTGTTTCAGGGTGACAAGCAGGGGAACAAAAAAGCCCAAGCTGATATTTATGTTTCTGGGAACTTCACTTTAATGACATTTTGGCAACGTCCTGTACTTTAAACATCACTCAAGCACAGGTACAGAGAGCAGATTACCATAGCTGAAGATACAAGTGATACAACTATACTAACTACCCAGGGAGAAGTCATGGTCAGTTGTGCTGTCCGCCTGCTAAGCCAGCACCAGTCTCAAGAGCAGTAACTCAGCAGTACAGCAAGCAAACGTTTGGGCCCTGATGTTTCAGTCATATAGGGAATGAGGTGATGCTTTTATGAAGTTGCTTACAGCACAGACCTGTTTCACAATCAAGTAGTAGGTGAAGCGTGAAAGGAACACCATCTCTTCAGGGCAGAAGCAGCCAACTTAGTCCTGTAATCTCAGCTCTGTCTCCTTTGGCTGCCATCAGGTGGTCTGAGAAGAAGCAAAGCTGCCCCAATGGCAGAGCACACCAGACCTGAGCACCTCTTCCAGTTCTGCAGTGCCCGTCAGCATTCTCAGCAGCCCAAGTTTTCTATACCATTCACATATGGCCAAGGATGCTACTCCAGGAGAATCCTTATCGATTCTTTCCAGAAGGATGACACCACTTCTTGCCCGTTTCATCCAGAGGAGAATGTTAAGTGCTCCTAGCTGCAACCTAGGCACGCAGGACGCATTGTACAGCCACAAACCAGCCAGAGGGAAAAGGGCATAGGCTATGAACAACTCCAGGCAATGCTTGTTACAGTGTTCACTAAATGTATCTTGTTTCAGATATATGATGGTGGATAGTGCAGAAGATCAGAAAACCCACCGACCAGCTCCACCCAAAGAGGTAAGAAGAGCAGTCCCAGCTCACCAGCAGTTTGAATGTCCTTTGCTACAAGGCTTAAAAATCAGGCTGCAAGTCCAGAAAACAACAGGGCAGAATAGAGCAGGAACATTCCCAGAGCCCACTAGGAAGCGAAGAAGGAAGATCAGGTTAGCTAAGGGGTGGCAGGGTCTGTCAGTTTCTACCATTCCTGACTATCATGGGCCTTGCCCATCAGACAGCTTCCTTCCCGTTTTGCCCAAGATTCCCAACACAAAGGATGGGTAAAGCAGCACACCCCAGTCTTCCTCTGCCCCCTGACAGCACAGCTCTGCTTCTGCTTGTCCACCCCCTTTCCCTAGCAGCATGGCTGGCCACCCATTTGGTGTTAATATCTTTCCTCTCTAGGCTCCCAAGAAATTGATCCGCTATATCGATAACCAGGTGGTGAGTACAAAGGGAGAAAGGTACAAAGACATCAAGAAGCCTGAGAGCGAGGAGATGAAAAGAACCTACATCAGCCTCAAACCAGCCAGGAAGTATAAGTTCCACTGACAGCCAGGTCCTCCTGTTCTTCAGCCTCCACCTCGCCAGCCAGGTTTGGCAGGCTGGACACACAGCACTAGGGATGGGGGGACTCCTCCACCTGCCACTAACTGGAACTAACCCGGGAGCCAGGACACTACTTTCAGCTTCCTCAACTAACCCAGCTGAGGGGAGACCTCTCCTTGTGTAGCTGTCCCTCTGCCCCCAGGGGCACACTGCAGTGGTTCTCCAGGGCCTGGGCATTCTCTGCTATTCCTTGCATGGGACGTTTTTAGATCCAAGATGTGGCTTGTGCTTTTGCAGCAACCTTTTTACAAGTCTGCACTGTTGCTTTAAAATGAGTGCCAGTATTAATAAAGATGTGAGTTGGCGTGTAGTTCAGCTAGAGCATGCACATGCTTTGTGGACACCACCTCCAATCCCTCCTGGGGCCAAAGGTAAGAGCAGGGTCACTCTCTCTTCCACTGTTTATTCTCTCCACATTCACCACAAGATGTAGCTGCTGTTTGGTTAACCACTTGGCAGATACAAGGGCTGAGGCTGAACTCCCAACCAGAGCTAGGCTCCCTGCCAACACCACCTGCAGCACTCCATAAGCTCCAGCTGACAGCACAGCAAGGGCTCCGTGATTTCTCAACAGTATTGGATGCCAAAGCTTCAGCCATGCCACATGGAGCAGGATATAATAGCTAGCCTGGGCACTACTGAAATATTAAGTCAGAAACTGGGGGGAAACAAATAGGAATGACCAACCACTTTCAGTGACAGCACAGCTAGGTCTGGTGGTTTTTTGTCAGTGAAACTGCAGTTAGAAGCAAGTTCCCCCTGAGAACAACTCTCACCTTGCACCAGCCCAAACCAGCACCCTAGATCTGGGCCATGCCAGCAATTTGGTGTCAGGCTGGTGAGTGGCTGCAGGCTGGAGCTGGACTCACTCTGCCCTCCTCCTGCAGCACAGAGGGGCCTGCCCTCTCCCAAGAGGAGGGCTGGCAGCTTCTTCACTCCAGCTAGCCTGGTGTGTTCCACAGCTCTGCTGGCATGCCCTGCACAACACCCCAGGGGACAGTCCCCATAAAAGACTTTCCTCTCTCGGGACAGCTGCCATTTAGAGATTTAAAATACGAATAATAAATCCTATCTACTAGCTGGCCTGGCCAAGGCCTGTTCAGCACCATGGTGTTCCTGCAAGTCACTCGCTCTCTCCACTGCAAAGGGAGTTACTTTCCCCAGAGGCATCAATGAAGCCCACTCATGAATACCCACCCTGTGGCTGCTGAGCAACCCCAGAGGAAAGAGTGAGCCCCACTCGGGCCAGCCTTGCCAATGGGACCAACCTCTCCCTGTGCATATCTCCAAAGCAGCTGGTTCCGGCATCCTCCCAGGATCCCAGCGTCTTGTCAGTCCCCCCCCCTCCCCAGCAGCAGCACTTCTAGATCTGGAGGTTGATGAAAGGGGCGAAGCCAACCACATCCTGCAGGAGAACAAGAGCCCTCTGCAGTGGAGGCTCCACATCCAGCTCCACCCCACGGCTTCGGAGGATGCTCAGGCTGGACTCGGCCACGTTGTGGCAATGCTTCACCTTCAGCGAGCGCAGCTTGGGACAGTACTCAGCCAGGACCCTGCCAAAAAACAGCATGTGCAAGTTGCGTGCCAGAATTCTTAAGTGCACTGCTCACCCTCTTCTCTACTCCCAGAAGCCCAGCGCTCACCACTGTGCCACAAGTACCAACCTTTAGGAGCAGTATCCTGGTGGTCTAAAAGAAACTCCAGGGACATGGCTGGGTCCCAGACCTACCCTCCACGACATGCTGGGAAATATGCTGTTAGTAGCCTCTCTTGAAGGGCCTGTTAGTGTCTTCTCCCCCAGTCTGAGCTCTCATTGCTTTTAGCATGAAGAAATCTAACTTTTCCTCTTGGGTTCTCTTCCACTTCCCACCCCAGGTACCTGCCATCCCCACGCCAGGTCCCCAGGTTGCTTAGTACCTGATGGAATCATTTTTCACTCGCAGACACCCTGTGAGGTCCAGGTGTTCCAGCTCAGGGCAGCACTTGGCAATCTCCTCGACCGCTACATCACCCACGTTGGCATTGACAGCCAGCGACAGGGACTTGAGCCTGCTGCACTTCTGCACCAGGTAGCAGATAGCCTCATCCTTCAGCTGGCGACAGGCCGTCAGGTCCACAGCCTCCAGTGCCTTGCAGTGGTCAGCCAGGCTGCGCAGGGACAGGCTGTCTACCCACTCGCAGTGGGCCAGGGAGAGCTGGCGCAGGCTGGGGCAGCTCAGTGAGATGGCCACCAGCGCATGGCGGCTGAGCTGGGCACAGCCCTTCAGCTGGATGTGGTGCAGATGGTGGTTCTGCCCGATGACTGGGAGCAGCTCCCCATCTGTCAGCCAGTCGGAGCAGTTCTGGAGTGCCAGCTGCTGCAGTACTTCGTTGTCCTTCAGCAGGTTAACGAAAGCAGCTCGAGGGATGGGAGGTCCAATCTGCGTGGGGAACCCAGGAAGAATGACGTGTCCCCCAGGGCTTCAGATCACCTGATCCTCACCAAGTACTCTCTCCCCTCCTCTATTCCACTGTGACAGTGGTGACCAAAGACACTCCCTTTTCTCATTGCAGAGTAAACCCTGCTGTCAAACTTTCCTCCCCTTATGCCAAGGCTACTGCCACACGCTAGAATATGCTTGGACTTCTCCATCCCACATCATCATTTACATACTTGTGATGAACTCCACACCCTTGCTCTTCAAATACTCTGCTAGACCACTCTGTCCTCACGGAACAACAGCTACTCCAGCCTTTCCAAATCCCAGGCAATGTCTCCCAGGGCGAGCATAAGCTTTCCCTGGAGATGAGGGACAGAATTATCTTCCACCAGACCCACCCTAATGCACAGCCTCTGTGAGGAACAACAGGCTGTGCCACTCAGGACTGGCTTTCTCTGCCAGCTGGTGCCCATAATGGCCCAGGTGGAGTTTCCTGGTTCACTCCTCCCAAAGCCTCTTGCTAAAGACACTGGCATTGCTGGGTCCTGAATCACTGCCTCTCCTCCCTGGGCCCATCTGTCCAGTCTGACACCCAAGCCATTAACCCAAGCTCCTGAGCAGAAACCAGCCTCCTTGTCAGGGGGTTCTTCGCCTCACATAGTCAGATGCTCCCCTGTTAGCTCCAGATCAGTAGGACATCTGTGTCTCCCCCAGCCTCAGAGCCATCCAATACCTGGCTTGAGTCAAAGCAGCGCATATTGGCCAGGTACAGCTGGATGAGAGACTGGAACGACTTGCTGACCCTCTGCAGGCTCAGGAGCTGCTGCAGTGGCAGATGACAGAGAATATGTGGAACCAAGATGTCTTCCCAGGGCAGGTCCAGGAGGCATCCCCTGGAGGGGGTCAAACTCATCATCAGACGTCAGGGAGCCAAGCTACAGTGGGAGCCAGGCTAGATCTCCTCACACCTACTGCCAGGTGCCTCTAGGAGGAACAGACAGAAAGAAAGACTCAGCAGTGTCTCCCACCATCAGCCCACAGGGTAACACCCCTTGACCGTCAGCAGGTCAAGCACCTGCCACATGCATCACCTCCTCCCCAGCCTGAGACGCTCACTGCTCAGGCATCCGAGTTCACCTGACTGCACCGCCCTCGGGGTAGGGACTTCCCACCAGCCTTTTGAGGTGTTCCTGTCCCTCAGCGAAGCAGCAAGCGACTGCTGCAGCATTACCGCATCACCTACACAGCAGCTGTGCCTCCCTTCCACGGCTAAGCATCGCTCCACCTGGCAGCTCGTCCCCTAGGTGCCGAGCCCCTCGGATCCTTTTGAGGGGAAAGCAACAACGCTCCGGACTCCCCAAAAGTGGTCTCCGATGAGGCTACAGCCTCGGGTAGCCAGAGGAGGGGCAGGAACCGAGGAGGGGTCCCGGCAGCCCGGAGCCTCCCGAGCTGGGGTCTGACACGATCCCAGCAGAAGCCGCCCGGGGGGGGGGGGGGGGGGGGTGGGAAGGGGAGGACGACATTCCCGCTCAGCCGTTCCTACCCCACCGCCCCTCGCTCACCCCCTGAACGGCCCAGTTCCTGGGCTGCCGCCCCGCCGCCAAAGCGACAGAGCCGCAGTAGCCCCATCAGGGCCTGCACACCCACGCTCCGCGCCCCCCTGCCGCAGGGCCCCACGGCGATGCGACTGCCCTGCCCCAGCGCCCCCAGCCCGGTACCTGCCGCAACCCGGCGCTGCCCCGCCCGCTCCATCCGGCTGCACCTCACCCAGACGCCGGCGTCCAGCCGTAACGTCACGCCGGCGGGCGGAAGTACGCCTGCCCGGCCGGCCCACCCCCGGCCCCGCCCCGTTACCTCGGGGGGCAGCAGCGCGCACGTTACCGGGGCCCGGCCGCAGACCTTGCACAGCGGCAGCGCTCGGGGCGGCGGGGAGGGCTCGGCCCTGACACGCTGGGGCACCTGGCGGAGCAGAGCGACTCCGGCCCTGCGGGCGCGCCGGCAGTCACAGGTCCTACCGGTGCCGCAGCGGCTCCCGCAGGCTGCTGCAGCGGCGCGGCTCTCACACCAGCCCCGGTACAAGGGCTCCCCGGGCGTACCCGCTTCCTTGTGCACACCACCACTCCCAGTCCCTCAGTTATCCCAGTTACCCCGCGCACACCAGATCCCCACTTCCCCGGTGTACACCGGTCGCTCCAGCCCCGCGGCTCCCCGGCTCCCTGGTGCACACCGGCTGGCCCCGGTTGCCCGGTCCCCAGCGCACGCCCCTGCCAGCGGCGGGCGGATTGGCGCATGCGCAGCGCGGCGGCGCTGTCCGTTCAGCACCATGCGGAGCCGGGACCCGCCGGGACCCGCTACTGCCGGTGAGCGACGGCACCAACCCCCGGCCCCGACAGATGTCCCGGCCCTGCCCGGCCAGGCCTCCAACACCCTACCCGGTCCCGCTGCTCTCCCAGCTGGCTCCGCCTCCCACTCCGCGCCCGCAGAGGTTCCCCCGGGAAGGGCCGGTCCCTGGGGCTCAGTTCTCACAGCACCCCCGACCGGCAGCCGCCACTACCGGCCTGCCTCCCCTTGCCCCCCTGCCCCTCCCCCGGGTCTGGGGTGGGACGGCACTGCTTGCTGCAGCTCCCTCACCCGGCCTGCATCCCCCCGCCCTGCCAACCGGCTCCTCGCGCTTTGCTCCCACACCGGTGCCCCGCCTGTCCCCGTAGTCCCGGGGTGCGGGGTCCGTCCCTTGCCGGCAGCCCCCGCCGAGAAGCGGCCAGACTCCTGCCGGCGCAGTTGCCATAACGACTCGGCAGAACCAGACGCTGCTATTTCCCCTCTGCTCTCCTTCCCGCTGCCGGTCTGGGGTGCAGCCCCGTACCCCATCAGTACGGCACTCGTACCGCCCACACCAGCCCTGGATGGGTGACCCCAGCCCTGGCTCAGATCCAGGCCCTGCCGCCTTGCGCAGCATCAAGCTGCAAATCACTGCTGGCAACAGGCACTATAAAAAGATCCACTTGCCAAAAAAAGCAGTGCCCTGTGAAGGAGTCCCACATCCTTGGTCCCACATTCCCTGGAATAAGTCCCGGGTTCCCTGGAGAGCAATGACCTGTCTGTGCACCCTTGTGTGCTCTTTCCCTCCCAGTGTGGAGGCATCCCCCAATGGGGAAAGGTCTGCTTACCCTATTGCCTGTCCTCTGGTGGTAGCTAGCCATGTTACCTGTCTGCCCCTGGATGTGTAAACCCTGAGAGTCCCAGTGGCTCCCAGTAGCACAGCACCTTCCTCATTTACAGAAGGACAAGTGAGGCAGGAATTTTCAGTTTTCTAAAGGAGCTGAGAATGCCCCCAGCCATGGCCTAGGACAATGCTTCCTTCCTCTCCAGTGGGGGCACAGAATGGTCTGGGAGTGCTTCTAGACTGGGAGGATTCATTTTGCCTTCAGGAGGTTTCAGCCCTGTGCTCACTCTGTTCTTGAGTTCCCGCTGTGAAATAAAAGTGTAACATCTGGCAGGGAGCCCCTTAATATTGCTCCTGATTGTGACTGAAACTGGCTCCAAGGAGGGTTTTTGGAATAGTGGTCTTGGTCTGGATAGGAGGTGAGGGAGCACCAGCGAGCAAGGCATTGCGACACTCAATTACATCTGCCCTTCACTGTGCCAAAACAGACCTGGGAGCCCCCTGCTTGTGCTGAGTCCTTGTTCAGAGGAGCTGTGTTGTGGATTGCTTGTTATCCTTCCTGACAACATGTGTGCTAGACTGGCAAGTGGGATCTGCCCTGCTCCCCCACCAACCTCTGTTTATGTTTTTTCATTTTGTCTGATCCAGCTGGGCTGGCTGAATCACTTCCATGGCATCCTGCTGGTAGCAGGGCTCAGAAGAGGGCTGAGAGCCCTAATAGGTTCCAGGTACTGCAAGGAGGTTGGGAGGCACTGTTAGAATAAAGACAGAAGTGACACATGGTTGTGTTTGTTTGGCCTTTTCCCGGCTTGTGCTGCACATGGAGAAGGTGAAGAATCTCCTACCTTTAAGATCTAGTGCCAAGGCAGAGCCTCAAGAATTGTTTAGTGTTGGGCCATCTCCACTGAGCCACTTACGGCACCACTCAGGAATCGCACCTAATCCAGCTCATTTCGGCCTGCTTTCAGGACAGCAGTCTCTGTGTCAGTGCTGGGGCACTGCAGCCTCTCAGGCAGTGCTGTCTCTCTCCCAGATGCAGCAATCAGGGTCAGAATTACCCTGGAAACAACCAACAGCTTCTGGATCCCTAACACAACCCTGCAGCAAGTGTAGTTTGGTGCTTGCTCTGACAAACCTCTTTAGCTACCGAACCCAGAGTACCCCTGAGTTTTCTGACTCAGCATTTAGAGGAATGCAAGCAAGGTGGGGAAGAGAAGGGTGAACATGCCGGCTGTGTCAGGGCACAACAACAGCAGCTGCCCATGCAAGGTCAGGAGCCTCCCCAGCCAGAGACCAGCCATTCAATACCTGGCCAGTGCCCAGAGGGGGCAACCAGGGTCAAGCACAGCTTTACAATGAACAAGCAGGGCCACGACAATGGGGTAGGGCTGAGGTTCGCCTGGGACATCAATCAACAGCAGAAGGTCCAGATCATCAGTGCCCATAGCCCACCATAAGAATAGCTTAGTTTAGCTAAGATGGAGACCAGCAGTCCTACAGTACTGCATAACAGGAACCAAGAGTCCCAGGCTGAGCTTAAGTAGAGCCCCAGTCCTACAGTCAGGAGTAGTGGAGGCTCCGGATGAGGCTGATTAGGACCACTAAAGTTTACTAGCATACTCAGGGTCCTGACAGCTGGTGGCCTGTGGAGGAGTTAGTAGGTAGGTAGGGAGGTTGGTTAGTTTGAGGCTATGGCTACTGAGATGTATGTGCCATGTAGTAGGAGTCATGGACAGTTTCCAGCTATGAAATAATCAGACTGTTCTCTTCACAGGTTGACTGCAGGTACAGAAAGAGCATTAGAGCCTGTCACTGCCTTGTAGGAGTGTATGTGAGACACAGCTTTACACCATCAGGATGTCTGGTGGAGCTAGCAACATAGGAATACATCAATGGTAAGGATCCCAAACGGGTACTATTTTTGTGCTCATGCCTGTAAAGTTTTCCTATATGCAGAGAGGATGTAATACAGCTGTACAGCACTGCAGCACAGGACCTGGGTGGTGTTATCCACTGTAGCTCAGCCATGAAGGAACAACTCAAAGCAGGCAAGCTTGAAGGACCAGAGCTTTGTTCTGCTCTGCTCAGTCAAGAGTTGCAGCAAGCTTCTGCCTTTCTGGTGACACATGCTTTCCCTAAGGTGGGTCTGCATTTTTCTTGAGAGGTGTCTGGATGTCTCCTTTCTAAGCTTCAGCCAGATGCAGACAGCTGCAAACTGACCTGCCGAAACAGCTTCCAGGGTTGACACTCGTATCAGGGAGATCCCTTAAGGCCAGGGGAATTCACCTTGCTAGTCAAACATTAGGATGAGGGCAGACCTCAGGCTAAAAACTTCTTTCTATAAGCTTGGATAGCTGCCATCTTCTAGATTTTAAAGAGGATGTGGGAAAGATTATCACAACAGCTCCTGTAAGACCAACCAATTCTCTTAATTTAGCCTCTAAAAGGGAATAAAAAGGACTGTGGTCCTGCTCACATGCATGTTAACCAGCGTCTGTAAGTGCTGAGTTCAGTGGTAAGTGTGGTGGGGACAGGACACAAGAGATGGGGAAATGGAGCTCACAAGAAGTTAACCCAGCTGATGTGGTTTCAGCATATGTCCTGTTAGCTCCATGGCACACTGTGAGCCTGGTGCCATGCAAGCAGCTACTGACTTAAAGATGGTGACCCTTGCAAGACCAATGGGGTAAGCTTGGAGATGCTTCCCTTTCAACGGGTGACTTCATTTGTCATGACTCACCAGGTACATGCCCATCACTTCTTCTTGTGCCTTTCTAAGACACTGTTTTGGACAAGGTGTGTCTGAAGTTCCCTGTTCCCAAGAGCAGTGCTGGGCTGTAACATTCCCAGTGCTTGCAGGGCATCTGAGGAAGTGTGTTGCACAGGTACCTTCCACAAGCAGGGGACACCAGTCAGTCTGGTAGCTCTCCTGCTATCCCAGTGACTACTGGTGTCCCGTGAGGGAAAGCAGGGCTTCTGCTTTGGGCCTTGAGCTGATCTGCAGTGACAAGAGACCAAGCTGAGCCCTGGGGCAAAGAAGCAAATTAGCTCACAGCTACTGCAGCTTTCTTGTGTATTCCCTGGAAACATATGGTGCTGGTTGCTCTCAGAGCCAGGGCATGGCCTTGGGTCTGACTCTGCTGGCATCTGTACCCTCATCTTTACCCTCTCCCTAAAGTGAATGGAGACTTCAGCCAGCTCCACTGCTGTGCTGGTGCCTAGCTGTACTTGAAGAGTCTGGTCTTGACCTCGGCCTTTGGGAAGTGGGAATGAGGTTTTGGGAATTTGGGCCTAAAGGGAGGGGAGTTTGCTGGTTAGAAGAGCTGACCTTAAGTCAGGAACCCCAGCCTTTGGTTCCCAGAGGTGCTCCTTATTTGTCAGCTGATCTTGGGCAAGTCTTCCCTACTCATGCCCCTTGACTTTTCCCTTGCATCAAAAATGCAGTTATTTCCATGTCGAAGGTTGGGTTTCTTCAAGCCTTCTGGGGCTCCTAGAGGCTGGTGTTGTGGGAGAGTACAAGTTATTTTTAGGAGATCGGTATGGTGCCAAGCCAATACTAACCTGCTGTCTTAAGATCTATCACCTTGTGTGATGGCTGGCACCTTGCTGGCTAATCAGGGCAAACTCTGCTCTCAATGGGGACTGAGATTGCGCAGTGCTGCCAGGAGACCCTTTTAAGCTGGTGGAACAAGAACCCATGATGCCTTCTGTTCAGCTCTTCCCTTTACAGGGCACCTTCCCCTTTCTCTTGTTGAGAACCTGCCTATATAGTCAGGAAAAAAAAATAAAAATAGAAGTAAAGCAAGACCAAGCTGTGCAAGGCAGGGTTAGAAGAGGAACATGCATGAGGAGCTCCTAGCTAGACACCAGTGCAGGGCTGTTCTGCAGCATCCCCCTCATGAGTCCACTGCTTCCAAGCTTTCAATGTCTCCTTTGCGTGTGTCTCCACACACTTCGCCAAGGTGGCAGGTTCCCCCGCCCCCCCCGGTTGTAATCACTCCTTCTTAACTGAGCACCTAAGTTTCTGCACCTTTCACACATTCTATATGTGATCGTGTTCTCCCTGTGCTAGGTCAGGCCGCAGGTCTGGGGCTTGCTGTCTCTTTTCTGCATCAGATACTCCCTGTATTCTTGCTTTTCCTCCCTCTTATGCCCTTTCACCTTTCCCCATGTGAATCTTGAGACTGAAGGTGGGAGGAAGGGATCACATTTTACTGTTGTGGAGCTTAGCTGGAAAACAGCTCCGGAGATCAGCGCTGCAGCACAAGCTGTGTCCTGGGAGGCTACACCCAAGAGCTGCTGATTTGGGTTGATTCAGACTAAATTGGTCTCTGGTGCAGTGACTCACCACGGTGAGCAACCTCCTGGCACCCAGGAAGCTCCATCCTCAGTGCAGAGCTCACTCCACCAGCCAGAAATCTCCTGCTTTCCTCCAAAACCATCTTTCTCTTGAGCATCTTTTTACCAAGAGATACTCCCACACAATT